AATAAACAACTGTGTCATCAGCATAGAAATGTATAGATGCATTAGGGATGTTTTTACCTACATTATGTATGTAGATTGTAAAGAGGGTGGGTCCTAAGACTGAGCCTTGTGGTACACCATTGTTGACTGTTAAATAACTGGAGGAAGTACCATTATGTTGAACACATTGCCTCCGGTCTGAAAGATAGTTAGAGAACCAACCAATGGTGTGATCTGAGAAACCGATTTCTGAGAGTTTATGACACAAGATGTTCTGATCCACAGTGTCAAAAGCTTTAGACAGGTCTAAGAAAAGTGCAGCACAATAATCTTTAGCATCCAGTGCTTCAACAACGTCATTAAGAACCTTCAGTGAAGCAGTGGTTGTGCTGTGTTGTTTCCTGAAACCAGATTGATGTGGAGGTAAGATGTTAAATGAGTCCAGGTAATTTTTGATTTGAGAGTTTATCAGTTTTTCTAGAACCTTGGCTAAAATGCAGAGTTTAGAGATTGGTCGATAGTTGTTCAGTGAGGTGGGGTCACCTCCCTTCAGCAAAGGAAGAACAAAGGCTGTTTTCCAAGTGTCTGGGATGGAGTTTTGTCTTATGGAGAGATTGAAGATGTGGGTCACAGGGACTGTGATGATATGAGCAGCCAGCCTTAAGAAATAAGGTGGAAGTTCATCTGGACCTGCAGATTTTTTAGGATCAAGATCTTTTAACAGTTTATTGACCTCACTGACTGAGAATGGAGAAAAAGAGAAGGTGTGATTAACTGAGGATTGACTTGTAGGAGGGATTTGATTTGTAGAAGTTTGGTTATTAAGTGAAGTGGCTGATTTTCCATTAGTTACTGTGTCAAATAAAGAACCAGAAGCAACAAAATGTTTGTTGAGACAGTTCAGGATCTCGTGCTTATTTGGCACAGGAACAGAGTTAACGAGAAGTTGTGATGGGAGGTCAGATGATTGGGGGGTGCCTGAGAGAGATTTAATTGTTTTCCAGAATCTGTTAGGGTCATTTAGATTTTTGGAAGTCTGAGATAAGAAATAGTTTCGTTTTGCTGCTTTGACAGCAGTTGTACATTTATTCCTCATCTGTCGAAAACTCAACCAATCAGTGTCTGAGTCAGATTTTCTCGCTGCAGCCCAAAGATGATCTCTCCTGTGCAGGAGGTCAGCTAGCTCTGGAGTAAACCAGGGGCTGTCTCGTCCATTTATTCTGAACTGACGAAAAGGAGCATGTAAGTTCAGGAAATAAATGAAATTATTATGGAAATAGTTCCAAGCAGAGTTCACGTCATCAGTTAACAGAATACGATGCCAGTCAAAGTGAGACAGATCCCAGAGGAATGACTGTTCACAGAAATGTTTCAGATCCCTTTTTTTAATTAATCTGGGCTTAGAAGGTGGAAGTTTACTATTTCTTAAAGCCGCTGTCACACAATGATCACTCAAAAGATCAGCGAATACACCTGTACCAGGGAATTTGTGAGGCATATTAGTTAGAAACAGGTCTAAGATGGAGGAATTGTCAGGGTGGCTTTTATTTAATCTGGTGGGGGAGTCGATCAGTTGGGTTAAATTAAAAGACAAGCAACATTCCTTGAATTTGTCACAGAGGGGGGTCGACTTACACCAATCAATGTTGAGATCTCCTGCCAAAAAGATCTCTTTGAATTTTAAATTACCAAGGAATTCCTTAATGGCATTTAATGCTTCAGGTGAAGCTGTGGGGGGGCGGTAGCAGCAGACTACAGTTAAAACCTGGCCTCCATTCAAGGTGATGTTTACAGATAAGGCTTCAAACTGGTTTGGAATTGTTTTGAAAGTCACAAGACTTGAAACCAGAGTGTCTCTAATGTAAATAATGACTCCACCCCCCCTTTTTTGACGATCACAGCGGTAGATGTTAAACCCATTGATTGCCACGTCATTATTCATTACAGATTTGTTGAGCCAGGACTCAGAAATAAAGATAACATCTGCCCCAGAAGAACTGACCAGGATTTTCACAGCATCAAGTTTTTTCAGAAGGCTACGAGCGTTTACATGCAGGAAATGGAGCCCAGAGGCAGAGCAACATCTTCAGGCCAAGACTCGGCAGTTTACACTCATCTGCAGGCCAGCAGTCACTTTCAGGGATGAAGATGTGCCCAACCTTGATAGAGAGGAACTATGGTTTGAGAGAGGAGTAAAGGAAGCCATCTTTGTGAAAAGAAACCATTGTTAGGGGTTGTTAGGCTGCAGGTCTTCTTTATGTTAACAGCTAGTTCTGGATGTTAACAACAAACTGGTTGATCCACTATGAGAAGAGGCTATTTGAAACTGAGCTTGTTGCAACTCCTCAGACTGAACTTAGTTTTTTGGATTAAAGACAAAAGTTTCAACAAGTTTTTTTTTTATTTGTCCAGAGGACCTGACTTAACTTTTTTAGATACAAAAAAATCTGAATTCCTAGACATTTCAACATTAAACTTTTTTCAGATCCTAACCCATATTATAAAATTTGCAATATTCTTTGTAAAAACTTAAAAACATTTGTTATATTAAGTCAGTTTTGGCCCACTTAGGTCCCTCAAAGTGAAGCTAGCATGTGGATATTAAGCTGTGCTGATAAACTGTGCCAGAGTTCAATTTTTTCAACACAAGTGTTTCTCTTACCTGCTCCATTACGAACAAACATTAATTTATAGCACTTAGCAGCATCCGCGGCCAGAGCTTTTCTCTTTTTTATCCTCTCTCTCTCTCTGCTCCACCTTTCCTCTTCTTTGGCTGTCTCTGTTGCTCCATTCTACAACTCAGAGATGCACGCTCCGCGCGCCAACACCGTCGGGAGCGCGAGTCCTAGGGCGGGGAGGGGGGCGGGCGCAATGTGTGTGTGTGTGTGTGTCTCTGCTCTGTGAGTGACACACAGAAAAGGAAGGGAGGGGGCCGGCCCGGCCGGGGGATGTGCCAGGCTTTCTCCGTCGCTGCAGTGCAGCGTGAGACCTGAGCCCAGGCAAAAGTGAATTGTTTATTTAAAATAATAAAGTCCGTGCGACCCGAACCGAGCCTTTAGTCCCGTTCCTCGGCAACCAGGCCACTGGGAATTGTCCCGGCGCTCCCGATGGCCAGTCCGCCTCTGCTATGAGGTAATTCCTGTTTATAACTGTTGTATTTAGTTGATCATGAGGTTGACCACTAGCCATTATCATCTTTTACATTTTACAACAGGCGAGCCTGTTGACTGTCTCGGCTTCAAAAAGTTCCAGATTTTTGTGGGATCGGGGACGTTTGTCCTCTGGGGTAGCCTGGTGTAGGGGCCCCAGAAAAGGTAGCAGTGGCCGTGGAGCATCTCTGTGACTGATCCTGGAATTTGCTCTGCACTCACCAGTGGCCCGGTTTCCGAGCAAAGCAGGGGTCTGCCTGGGGTAGGGTTGCATGTCTCCTCACCTGCTCCAGGCTGTCAGATGAGAACTGCAGCTGATTCAAGACTAATTGGAAGTGAAGTCCAAAGAGGCCGTCTGAGGTCACCGGACCTTCCAGAAGTTCTTTTTTAACGTCCTCTTGAATGGATGGGGATAATCTCAGCAACATCTGCCTCTGTAGCACCATTTCCCAGGACAAAATGCAAACAGAACACGCTGCAAGTGCCAAGCACAGGTTTGTAATTGTGTCTGCCGCTGTGCAGATCTGGTCCATGTCTGCGGAGAAAGGGTTCAGCTCCATTGCCTCCTTAGAAAATGCTATATCTAAGGAGGTGATTTTGTTCATTGCCACTCCCACCTGCAATGAGCACTGGTGGATTTTGTCCATCAGTTTCGTGGTGAGCTGGTCGCTGGGAGATGGAGGGATAATGCATCGGCTGACTTAGTTTGCTGCTCTCACTCTGAAGACAGCCGATAAGCTAGGTTCTAGAGGAGGGACGGTGGGGAAACCTTGGTCCGTGACCCCCTTGACTTTTGTGATGGCCACATGGGAGGCGACTGGAGCTCTCAACTTCAGAGTATCGTGGTCGTAGTGGCCTAGGAGGAGGGCAGACACAGCTGATGTCCAGTGTGCTGAGTGGCAAACCTTCCCGCCAAAAGGGTTGACGTGACTGGAGCTGCTGACTCTGGAACCTCCAGGTCGCAGGCTCTTGCCGACCTCCCAGTTATCTCCAAGAGCACGTGAAGCAGAATGGTGGCTGACCCCTGGGTGGTCGGGGAGGTGTCCGACTCCAAACCTCCTGAAAGGCAGGATGGTGCATGGCTGTTTCAGCCTCAGAGGGGGACATGTTCACTAGCTCAGAGCCCAGGGAGCTCAAACATTCCTCCAGTGAACAGTCCCCCCTCGTTTGAAACTTGTCCTCCACAGAGGAAAGGAACTCAAACCGGTGCTGCTTTTCCTCAGCCTAAAAACGTTTGCATGCTGGACAGGCATGGTCAGTTCCCAAAGAGCACTCACAGACAACATGCCGGTCCATCGACAAAATGTAACACGTCTGGCACTCCGGGCACAGATGTATGACTTTGGATTTTTTTGTGGAAGTCCTCTTTCCTTATTTTTTTCTTCTTTCTTTCGTTCTTTTTCAGAAGTAGTGTTCTTCGCATTAGCTGAAGAAAACGTGGAGTGGAACTCCGATCAAGAAGCAAATTTATAACGGACCGAGTGGGGCCCACACAGTAGGTGGGCGTGGACTAAAAGTTTTCAGTATTTGGCGCACTGCGCGTGGAGTGAAACCTGTAGCGATGCTTTTAAAAGGCATAGCTTACGCAAAATAGATCCTATAGTTAGGGTTGGCTTGTTATGCTGCCATAGGCTTAGACTACTGGAGGACAAATTTACCTATTTTCTTTAAAAGAATTGTTAAATTTGAATTGTTTTCATTCAATAATATTTCTATCTTAACATGTGATTCTCGACCTATGATTGTGTATCTGTTCCTCCTTCCTGTTCCTTTCAAACCCAGCCAGTTGAAGCAGATGACCACTTTTCCTGACCCTGGTTTTGCTAAAGGTTTCTTCCTCATGAGGGAGTATTTCCTTTCCACTGTTGCCTTCATGCTAGCTCAAGATGAGAGTTCTGTGATGGAGTTAAATTCAAAGCAGGTTGCTTCTCAGATAATTAGTGTTAACGTATACATATACATACACACACACACACACACACACACACACACATATATATATATATATATATATATATATATATATATATATATATATATATATATATATATA